AGAACAATTTTCATTTGTGTTTGGAGCCACACGTCATGTTTCATTCTGTACCGAGAGCAATTTTTTTTCTTCAATGACTATACAATGCATTGAATTGTCTTGTGGACCCCCCTTGAATTGCAAGCCAGTTGCCTTAAATTACCAGTAAATGATGATGAAGTGCTTCTTAAAAGAGCCCATATGCAAAGAAACCACTAGGAGCAGGCCAGATGGAACACACGACATGCAATCATTTTTTTTTACAGATTTATAATGTGACAACTGCATTTCCCCCCCCTCGCTCCCCACCCACACACCCCTCGCCAGAATTTGCAACGAAAAAACAAGGAGGAAGGAATCAAACCGTTATAACAACACAATTATTATTATTATTTTATTAACCCACAATTTCCACTTATGGAGTCAGGAGGACGTCTCAAAGTGCTCGACAAAGCTAAATGCTTTCAAAAGCTGACTGATAGCTTTGGGGCTTTCTTAAACTTCCCTCAAAAGGTTCTACTTGCATTCAGCCACTAGAAGTCTCATCTAAAGGGCTTTTGAATTTTGCAACAGCTCACGTATTCCCCCCCAAAACAAGCAAAATATGTGTGAGCGCCTGAAACATTTTTAACCTCCGAGTTCTGTAAACATCCGTCCTGGGAACAATATCGCACAAAACATTATCCTAAGCTCTCGCACAGCGCCTTCAGCAAGTGTTGAACATACTGTCTGTGGGAGGATTTAAATGCTTTGAACCGATTAACCTTCCAGAAACTCACTGGTGACAAGTTCGCATTGTGCCAGGAAGACTTGCCGAGCAACAGTTTGCAGCTCTTTATTTGGATTCCCGCAGAAAGAGCGCGAAAGGCATCTCCGGTTCTCGTGCAAAGTTTAGCGTCTCTAATTTAGCTGAACGCTGCTTCGGAAGAGGTCTGCGCTTATGCTCCACACATCCTGCAAAGTGTCGACACTGTTAAACGTATGTTTTTCACTTGCAGTGGTGTCACCAATTTGTTCCTGTGTTCGTTTTGTGGCGGTCGACTCATTCCTGGAGTCTTGTCTTTCTCTTATTTCACTTCAGTGCCTAAGTTGCTCTCCTAACTTCAGCACACAGGACTGAATGCTCTTGATTTCTGTGCCTTTGAACATTGCCTGTTTACTTTCAGTTAGTTGGCCAACCAACCCCCCCCACCCCCCAAAAATAAAATTGGTCATTCACTTCACGGCTGCTCGCAGGACATTGCTGTATGCAAATCTGCTGTGTGCTGCCACACTTGCCTAATAAAATACACAATCAGTACAGTTCACAGTAAAATCCTATGAAAAAGCTTTGAGACATCTCGATGACGTGATAAGCCATGCAGCACCAAACGCAAAGATTCTTTTTTTTAGACTGCTTGCATTCAGAGTAAAAAGCAGCGATAGCATTCCAACACCGAAATCCACATCATCTCGAAAACCCCCCTCCCCCACACAAAAAAAAAGGTTCATCTTAAAAAAAAGAGACAAATATAAAAGCATTGCAGGTTCATATTCATTTTACTTTTCTTAACCTGATGGCAGACAAGGCTCATTTTAAAGCAAAACAAAAAAAAATGTATATTTGCGGAAGGACAAAAAGTTGCGAGACATTTTAATTCGGTCGGTTTGGAAGATCTAAGATTGTTAAGTACTTAAGACAAGAGTTACATTCCAGCTCTCCTGACCCTCCTGGTCAACCTCAATAAAAGCCTGGCTTTTGTTCGAGAGTCTCGATCAGGAGCTAATTTGAGGATACAAGTGTTTACATGTTTAAAGGCGCCCCATTTCCTCTCCTCCATCAGCTCTGCTCTCTACATCCCAGCAGAACAAAAAATTGGCCTCTTTTTAATCCCCCCACAACCTCCATCCCAGTCTCCTGTTTCTTTTATATTTTTATCCTTGGATACGATTCGAACTTAAAATTTCAAATTTGCGCTTGATTTTTTTTAACACCATTATCACAATTACAACAACAGCTTGCATTTCGATAGCGCCCTTCACGAGAGATAGCTCCCCGGAGAGCTTATTAATAATAATGATAATAATAATAATAATGATAATCCTTGTGTTTGATGCAGCACGTGGTTGAGATGTCTCAAAGAGTTTCATTACAGCTACGTTGTAAAGTGGTGGGAACAATTGTACTTTGCAGGCCAACCCGGCAGCAAAACTATTCCCCAAGATGATTAAGAATGAAAAGAGGAGCAGGGTGCCTGTTGCTTTAAGCGCTATTGAGTCGTGCTGTCCGCGGAGTCGCCGTTATTAACTGTGTTGCAGCAGCGGATAAATAGATTATCAACAGTGACGGACGGACCACTTTATTCCTGGCTTCACCAGCGAAGCGAGAGGTGGCTCCCAGCCGTAGATGAGCCTGTACACATTCCTGCTCCTATGACCTAATGTCTAGCAAGCCAGCGTTCTGGGGGGCTCGGTGATGGGCTATAATTTCACATGAGCTAGGAAACAAAAAGCGAACTGATCGGAGATTCAGCTTAGCGGGCGAACAGCGCAGATCTCGTGGATGCACATCCGCTAAAGGAATTTAGAAGAACACTGCTCCTGACTCTGAACGAACTGTGCAGTAATTTTATACTGCAATATATTTCCTTTACACAGGAACCTGAATCAGCCTTATTCATGAGTCACTTGCGCGCACACTGGCTCTGACTACTTTTGCCACGTTTGCGATTTTCGTCCCACCTCATTGACTGAGACCGCCTGTTGGGTTCAGTGCAATGAATGTCACGTGGGAAGGAAATATGTCATTTAGCTCATCAAATCTGCTCACACACACAGTGAGAAGAAAGCGGCTGAATTATCACTGAAAATTGTTTCCAAAAAGCCCCAATGGTGTCTGGGAACCTGTTGGTGAAGAGGCGTTCCTTTAACACTCGCTAATACCAAACCTAATTGGCAGGATCAACAGCTCTCGTCCTTTGTGAACGTGGGAAACATAACGTTGAGAAAGATCAGTGGTTTCAAAACGGGAAGGTTGGAGCTTGACGTGTCAGTGTTGATTATTTTCACCATTATCCATACGGAGTCCAAAGCAATTATCAATATTGCACGTTGATTTACTGATCGTGACTTTAAACGCTTTGCCACACTCTTCGGATTCCACAGTCTTAATCTCGTATCTTCAATTTGTGTTGACTTTCATTAACTCCCAACGTGCCTGACAACTACGGCGGGAATTCAAAAGATCACAAGCCCGCTTTGGATGAAGAAGGAAGGCCCTTCAGCCCATCTGATCTCACCCCTCCAAAACACCTAACACTCCCATCCACCCATCACAGAATCAAGCCGTTTCTTAAATGAGTCCAGTGTCCCAGACTCAGTCACCCCTCTTAGTGATCTGATCCAGCTGTTAGTTACCCTCTAGGTAAAAAAAAATCCTGGTGTCTGTCCTGAAACTTAGCCTAAACCTATGTACTCTTGTTCTACTGTCTGCGAAGGCACTGTTCTTTTGCAATCTCATTTAAAATATTATATACACCTCCACAAGGTCTCCTCGGAGATGTCATCTGTCAAAACTTAAATTGAAAGGTTTTGCGAGCGAATCACTTGGGCACACAACACTCGAGTTGAGTGTAGAAGGAACCCAGGTGGTAGGGTGGGGTGTTTGTGCTTTTTGTTGATCATGCGTCACCTATTCCTTCTCACAGCATCAGTCTCCGGCAGGTTTGCCGATTGATCAAGCGGTTTAACTTTGTTAATCCTTTCCTAATTTTCCTTGAGCTGAGCCAGCAGCAAGTTTGCACATAGCAGCGTCCCTTTAAACACTCAAACTCCCCACTCCGTCCCCCCAGCACCCCCGGCCCGAGCACATCCACAAAGAACAACAACACGTCAGTCAGTTCCTTATTGTGTTATATTTAATATTTTGTTAGTTGCTTGGTACAGTGGCTTCGCCGAACTAACAGTTAACATGTTGATAGACAATATGCTTGTTTTACAACAACAAACATATTGCATTTATATAACACCTTTCACATCGGGAGGGCGACCCAAGGCACTGGACAGTCGAGGGTTTGTACCCGAGTTGGGGATTTGATTGGTGAGTGGGGGGGGGAGGGGGTCCAAGTGGGTGGTGGTACTTGTGGTCTGATAAACAGCGGAACTTATTTTATAAAAACATAAGAACATAAGAAATAGGAGCAGGAGTAGGCCATTCGGCCCCTCGAGCCTGCCCCGCCATTTAATAAGATCATAGCTGATCTTCTAACCTAATTCCAATTACCCGCTCTATCCCCATATCCCATAAAAGTTATATTATTTATGCATATACAGTTCAGTATTTATTAATTTGTTCTCTGTCTTGGTACAAAGGCTCAAATGCTACCGAAGCAGGTAGTCTGCTTTACTGTCTGGTTCTCCCTTATGTATGCATAGAGATTATCTTTTCTAATTGCTGAATGGCAATATTTGTATTATTATCCTTAACTCCTCCCCCCACCCCAGCCCCCACCCCCACACCACCCTGTCTCTCGAGAATCTCTCATCAGAGTGCTCTTGAGTGAGCTCGATATATTGAAGCTCTTTTCCCCTTCCTGCAGGGTTTCTGCCTCACGGGTAATAGATCACTCAGGGACCGGGAAAGGGAAAGAAAATTCATATTGTGACAACTAAGTGGGAAATCCTATTACTGTATAAAGATTTGGCGGAAAACTTTACTGTTGTTCTCTGCTTAATGCAGCCCCCCACTGTCTCCATTTACAGTAGTTTGAGAGTAAAAATAGTTTGGTCTTTGCCAATAGACCTACAGTATTGGCAACAGAGATTTTATTTGACATCCAATCTCTGTCCTATACGAACGACATCGCAATTCCCACTCTCTGCGAGAAAAGTAGAACGCTTGCTGACTCATTGCTTTGTATGTTTTTTATACTCGCAATTAAAGGGAACGCATTTTTTTTAAATATTGAAAACCGTTCGTGCGATATTTGGCACCCACTTAAAAAAAAAAGAAAATCCTTAATCATTTCTTCTTCTCTGTTTAGGCTGCACACTTTTCCTGGGGTCTCTGGGCTCTTATCCAGGACAGATATTCCACCATTGACTTTGATTTCCTGAGGTAAGTGCCCTCTGCTCGCAGTCAAGTGAAAGCAAACAAAAAAAAGCTCTCAGCCCGTGTCTGGCGCTTTGCTGCTGACAATGTGAACTCCAATGCAATTTGAAGCAGAACGTCTAAATAATGTGTCATGTTTTCTTGAACGTTTTGGTAACCCCCACAGATGGCATTCATTTCCACTCGGTTTCAGAAATGTAAACGATAAAAACAGCATTACTGCACTATAAACTACTTGATGACATTTTGGTCACATTAATGAAAAGTGGCATTTATGCCAATTTGGGCAAATCAATCGCACACACACACACACACGCGCGCACAGACACACACAGACTCACACACAGACACACACACACCCACCCACAAGGGTTGAAATGCTTGGTTCATGGTCCAGCCTATATCTCGCCTACTTTAGCAAAATTGTGTTCTGAATTTGAATTTTCACATTTTTTTTTATCCCCGTTATCGTTGCTGCGAAAATTGCAAACGTAACAATACTGAAAAATAATAATTCTCAGCTCCCCACTGGGTTTATTTTCTGCACTGCGCTTCGCCTTTTTGCCTTGTTCATAACTCATCCTTTTTTTCCCTCTCCCCTCCTCCTAACTTAACCGCTTGCTGCAAGCAGCGTCGCTCCAGCAGAGCTTTCCAGCTTTCGGTGGTTACATTAATTGTTAATGACAAAGGCAACCTTCACTCTGTGTGGTTTCCTGCCCACATTTGGATCAATTACAGGGTCCCTTTCCTGATAGGAAATGCAATATGAGATGTGCGAAAACAGTACATTTATTGTAGTTTAATTGGCTCTTACTGTCGTTCATCCAGTTTAGGCACGTGTGCTGTAAGGTGCCTGTTCCATACAGGAAAGGATAAACCCAGACTCAAATCATGGGAAATTCATCAAATATGGTTCTTGGAGTTCTGTCTTTCAAGCTCTGTTTCACTGCCATATGATCCCCATAAACCGAATTACTGTTGGCTTAGATACAAGACTGAAGGCGCCTGGGGCAAGTTCATAATGAAATCCACATGTATGTGACAATGGAATGATCATGGAAAAGTATGGCAAAATTCTCCACAAGATTATTTTTTTATATAAAAATAAACTCCGCTGTACTTACTACACTTAAGGGAGGAACTGATAATTCTCTTTAGTTTGAATCCATCGTGCCAAATAGTTAATAATGGCAGGATTAAACGGGTACTTAGACTATCAGGTATCTCAAGCCACTTTTATGGGATGAACATCGGCCACTGTCAGACCTTCCCTGCAGTGAGTGTTTGCATTTTATTCAGGCAGGAGCTATACACCTCGAAATCTGCTGCACAATTCAGCACTAAGATTGGCAACTGTAAGGCTTCATTTATAAAACTTAAGCGTGTAATTTTTTTTGCTATTCTCCCTCTCTCTCCTCTTCCCCCCTCCCCCACCTCCCATTTCATCTTGTACGCTCACTATTCCTGGAATTCCTTTTAAATATGTTTCAATTGCTTGAAGAGGTATTGCACCTCGCCTATTCCCTTTAACCAAAGCGACTTTCCCGCGTTTTAATTCCAACGCAACCGTTCCTTCAAATCCCGCCTCAAAATCCTCCTTCGACCATGCCATCGGTCACCCCCCTTCCCCTCCCCTGCCTTCTCCCCCCCCCACCCGACCCCAGCTCGGTTCTGAAATGCTGTACACTGTCCAGCGCCTTGGGATGTCCTCCTGATGTGAAAGGCGCTATGCAAATGTAATCTTGTTGTTGTTGTTGTTGCTGTGACTTTATTTCGGTGCGGGCACCTGAAGTGGGAGCCAAAAGCAAAATACACAGGTTTCGCCCACAGAACACACAGTCAATCCCTTTACATTCTGTGAAGCGCTTTGGACTCGTCTCAACTACATGATAACGAGCTGTATCAAATGCAAGGGCTGAAGTGCTTTGTTACTTTTTGGTTTTGTCGATCATTATCGTTATTGTAAGGTAGAGAATCTCTCCAGCAAACACCAAGACATTGAAGTGGCTCTGTGCTGTCTCAATACACGTACTTTTCAACTAAAATCTGAGCATTTTTAGAGGGGGCGGTGGGGGGATGTGGGTTTTGTCTTTTTTTATCCTACCCGGTTTTTGTCATCTGCCTCCTTCGACTCCTTTTAACAGCATTGGGTTTGGAGGCCAGTGTAGCAGAAGCAGCACCAGTTTCACCACCTTGTCCTGTTCTGGAGTCTGCGGAATCACAAGCTCCAACCTTGACCTCACTCGGGCCACGAGATGGCTTATGGGTCCCAGTTTTCAGTCGTTGAACTGCGGAAAAAACACACAGCTCCCAGATCGGGAATGAATTAAAGGGATTTTCCCCCAAATTTAAAAAAATAATAATCCTTGCATTTGATGGAGCGTCTTATCATGTAGTTGAGACGTGTCAAAGCGCCTCACAGGATATACCGTAAAGTGAATTGACTGTGAAAAGTGAAAGCCAATCGACTGACAACCGGGTTCCAACTTACTGCTAGAATTCTGCGTGATCTGAAATTTTAAGGCAACGCACTCTCAAGCCTAAAACCAGAGGAGCCTCTGATAGCCTCCTGCATTCCAGCCGGGGAAGCGATAGGGAAAGGAATGCTGACTGATTTAATTTGCTCACCTCTCCATTCCAGAGTTGCTGGGGGTGAACTGTGCTGCTCTTATTGGCACCCTGTAGAGATGGCCTAACTCAGGCCAGATCTGGGGGTTTGGAACAGCAAAGCCTCGAGATACGACCTTTCCGAACGTTACCAGGTCCACAACGAGTTGAGGCTTAGTTCCAGCCGCCCTATTATGGCTCATTGAAAAATCTACTAGGATGTCCTGTCATGCATTATTTGATCGGCTGGAGCTCAAATTCAGCAGGGGGTGCGCATGGTCGAGTCTCAGCGGTACTTATGAGCTTCTGACGAATTGCTTTATTACTGCATGTGGACATTTTGCTCCACCACTTGCTTTTGATTCTGACCAAAAATAAGACAGGTCAGGTCTCCGTGAGGTTAAAAGACGGCACAGCACAGCCATCGCTTTAAAATTCAGGGTAAGGTTGATTTGAACGACAGGAATTACGCTGTAAAGAAACAACGCTTTACTCGCCCTTAATAATAACCATCATAAGAACTAGCATTTAGACAACTCCTTTCACACACACACAAATGTCACAAAGTGCTTTACACTGTAGAATTCACTTGAAATGCAAGTTACATAGGCAAAAACTGGTAGCTACTCTGTGCTGCCAACGTCATTCAGGCAGTGAATCCGCTGAATTCAGGATCCTCGCCCTTACGTTCCAATCCCTCTACGGTCTCGTTCCTCCACCCCTCCCCATCTCCTTTTGGTCATCTTCCTCTCCCATCTCCCCCACCCAACTCAGCTCCCCCGGCCACCCCAACTTGGAGCTGTGCGAAGTACTTTGAGACATCGTCCCGACGTGAACAGCACAATACAGATGTAAATCGTTGGTGAAATTACAAACAGCACTTGTACTGTAGTGAGTGTTTGTAGCCCTGTTCCAGGCCATGCCAGTGGAGTTAATGGTTTTTCAGTAGGATTCTTGCTGTCACAACCCATGTTTGGTGATGAATCGATTTAGCTACAGTTTACCTGACCTCACAGCTGGGGAGAAATTCCACCCGGGCCTAGGTCCACTCTATTGATGTAAGATTTCACAGTGTCCAGAATTTGGCAAATTCTTCAATCCGGCCTTAATTTTGAAGGTTTTCTGTAAGTTTCTTTCAAGGACTGCAGAGTTAAGACCAAATTCAACTGTTTGCATGGCTGGTTTGTGGGATGTTACTGTGCCCAAATTAGCTCCTGTGCTCGCCCACAAAACACGCGGTCACTGCACCTTACAATAAATCCCGTGAAGCACTTTGACACATTCTCCTGACGTGAAAGGCTGCGTGGCAACGATTATCATTATTATTATTATTATTTGCCAAAGTCTGCACACTTTGAAAAGCTACCTAAATTGAAGGAATTGGAGGATCTCTTTCCAGGTAATAATGCCTTCAAAAAAAAATGTTTTAAATAATAATTTGGTAACTCAATCCATGACTGTTTGTGGGACACTGCTGTGGGCAATTGGCTGCTGTGTTTCGCTCACAAAATACACGTCAATTCACTTCAGTATATTCTGTGAAGCGTTTTGAGACTTCTCGACGACACAATAAGGCGCTATATTATTATTATTATTTTTATTATTATTAAATAGAGTCAATCCAGTGCCGGATAGAATATCTCCCTGACTATGTCCAGGAAGAAATACTGGGAAAGGGTTTAATTCCCAGCAATGGCATCCCTCACTTTAATGAGCATGATATTCAAGCACTCCTGTGGTTTGTAACCTCAGCAGGCAATTGTTTCATTGTTATTTGCCCATCAATATTGCTTGCAGGGCTGTGCTGTCCACCACATTGGCAGCCAATATAGCAGCAAAAAAGGACCTTTCCTACAAATGATGGCTCTTTAGCTTCCAGCGGTCTAATAAATTATTTTTAAAGCACAATTTAAATCAGCGCTGAAGTGGTTAAATGGGGAATAATGACTACCTGGAAGTGATTACCTAACAGGTATTGGACGTCTGTATGGGGCTGGAATAGCGGTAACCTTGAGGGAAGAGTTCACGCAACCAACATCGTAAAGTTCCAAAGCAAAGGTCACTCTCTTTGTTCCTCAGCACAAGCAGGAGCTCATGTTACTGGCTATAACTCACCATCTCCCTTCCTGTCATTATTGCTAACATTGGCCAAAAAGTTTTCTCCTTTTAAGGCGCTATATCAAATGCAAGGATTATTATTGTTGTGTTATAATTTAAATCACTCTGTAAAGGTAGTTTCTAAGTGGTTTTCAGTGATGGTCAGCCAGACTAATAAAGCTCCCATGTTACATATGAATCAATGTTAATTTTCTTTGAGCTTGGTAAGATACCTATTTTTTGCAGGAGGTTTTGTCAAGCCATTCGTGAATAATTATTATTATTAATAAAATCCAAATATCTAGCTGAAGGATCCAGGCCCATTGTGGAGTATACCTCTGAGGTTGAGGTGATTATCAGAGGGGACAGGATGAATCTGTAAGGAACGATAAAGCCATGCCTAGTATTTTTGAAGCCTGCAGACTGTAGGGAGAACAGAAAGACTGAAGGATAGGAGGTGAGGAGAAAGCGAATAGGAGCAAAGATCATTGTGGTGCCTGCATTTGATATACAGTTAATGCCTTTCATGTCAGGAGGATGTCTCAAAGAATTTCAGAGTCCAGTGACTGTGTATTTGTAGCTTAGAGAAAGCACACAACCTGTTCAGATAGGCTTTCTGCGATTAACATCCTGGTTCCAAGGTCTTGTAGATAAACCAGACAAGCTGGTCAACTACAGTTTAGAGACTGCGGAGAGAGAAAAAACACACGGGATCTCTCAACGTATCTTTGGAAACAGGATGACAGATTGGTTTTATAGTAACTATCAGGCATCCTATTGCAGATGAATTTAAAGACAATATCTTGGGCACGGAGAGATTTTAAATGTAGATCTGTCACTTATTTTCTCTCTCCCTCTCTCGTTTTGCTCTGATTTATCTGTCCTTTCACCACAAGGATTCTGCTTAATCCCACCTTAATCTTTGAAATTATGTTCTACCAGAAGTGAATAGACTGCAAATTGTTTCGGTCTCAACAATAAAATCATAACAAATTTCTGCAAAGCCCCAGCTCTTGGCTAGGAGTCCATCACATGGTCATTCAGTTACCTGGTTTGTTTGTCTGGTACATGCTCATCTTGATGCTTGTGCTGGCCATCACTGAAAAACACTTAGAAACTACCTCTAAAGCGTGATTTAAACTATAATAATAAATAATAATATTTACATATGATATAGCGCCTTTATTGTGAAGTATTTAGAGACATTGGGAGGATGTAATAACTGTATATTTTGTAAGCAAATGTAGCAGCTAATAATAATCCTTGCATTTGATGTAATTCCTTATCACATCGTTGAGACATTTCAAAGCACTTTCAAACTATCTCAATGAACGATGTTTCCACAAATCCTTAATTTTAAGACAAAATGGTCCACAGGTACATGGTGGAGGGTGGAGTCCTGTAGCTCAGTGGTTAGAGCTCTCACCTCGCAAGCGAGAGACCTGGGTTCGATCCCTGGCAGGGCGAAACCTTGGGCGAGTTTCCTTACTCCACACACCTGATAATAATCCCTCAAGAAAAAAAACAATAATAACTCGATCACTTTAATCCACGACTGTTTGTGGGACACTGCTGTGGGCTGCCGCGTTTCACACACAAATATACAGTCAATTCACTTTACAGTATTTTCTGTGAAGCGCTTGAGATGTCTAGAAGACGTGGAAAACGTTATATCAAATGCTAGGATTATTATTATTATAATTGCAGGCTTGCTGTTCCCACTATGTCACAACAAATTACTCTTTTGAGTAGAAGCCAGACCATGCATCTTTCATGGCAACATTGAGACCCGCAGCTCTTGGCTTCCACTTTCTCACCCGTCACCCAGACTGAAGTGCTTTTGCGGGTAAGCCTTCAGTTTTCTTACGTGCCGTTCCCTTTGCCTTCGAGGTATTGTCACCTCTCCTGACATTGCAGGGCTGCCCCTCAACAGGTGACCCATCCCTTGGGTTGACACCGCAGCAATGAGGCGCAAAGCTTTTGTAGTCATGTTTGAATCAGCGACGCCGAAACATTTTTTTCCTTCATCTTTGTTCTTGCTATTTGAAGACGTGACTCGTGTCCTTTAGTTATCCAAACTCTTCATACCTAAAATACCTGAGGCAAACTCAAAAGAGTTGCTAAAAAGGTGTGGGTGGGGCGGGAATGGGGTTGGAAGGGAATACTCTATTATTCTTATGATTTGAAACAAGCCAGCTATTAACTACTGGGTAAATATTAACATTTTGAAACAAAGCGTTCCATAGTCGGACATTTCAGAGCAGAGAATTCCGCTTTTATCAACGTTGGCGTTTAAATTAAAGAGGGCCGGTCGGTCTTGGCCAATGTCTGAGTGTCGACAAGAGCTTTGAGGAGTTGTCGAGCCGAGCTACAGGTGGACAGGTCACTGAAGGAACCGCACGCAAAAGCCTAACTCAGGGAGACACCGATGGTTGAAAGTGAAAGCAGCAATAATAATAATAATCATTGCATTTGGTACCGGGCGTTTCATGTCAGGAGGACGTCCCAAAGTGCTTTACAGGCCATAGTGTAAAGTGATGTGACAAATCACATTATAAGCACGTAGAAAAAGTTTGTCATTTTACGACGGATCTGCACACGACAGATTGCACTGCCAGCTGTGTGTACGTGCAGAAACACCAAACTGTCCCCTTTAGCAGGCTCAGCGCAGGAATTTCTGGTACCGTACTTTTAAATGCAACAAATCATCGCACGCAAATGACAATTGAGAGGCATTGAGCAACTAGGATTCCTCAGAGGTCATCAACCCTCTCCCGAGGTTGTCGTGGCTGATGCCAGGACCATCCTCTCAACCTCTCAGGAAACAAATGGCTGGGTATTTGTTTCAGAAGAGCTTTCGAATACTGCGGTGGGTGAGGTGTGCGATAATCAATGGGGACAATGGAGATTTGGGGATGGATTTTAAAAGCAAGATCTGCCAGCATCCTAACAAACAGATTGAAAGACCGCTTCCTGCCCGTTCCTAGATTCTGCTGGTTTTGCTCGACAAAGTGCAAGGAATGGGCTTTGCTGGGCTGAATGGCATTTTCTCGTTGCATGTTCTCTCTCGGGGCTCGCAAATCCAATAATCTGCGTCGGGGTCAAAACAAAAAAGCAGCAGCGCTTCCCGAGATTCTAGCTCCGAGCTTCCGAGATAACTCTGACCAGGAGCTCTGACAAAGCACGGTGTGAAGCAACTGCTGTGTTCGTGCCTTCGGAACTCAGCAAGCAGCACGCCGTGTGGGCTAACGTTACCCAATTCTGTACTGACCACAGGTACGCCTCAGTACGTTTCCGACAGTACTTCAAAAGGAAGGAGGAGATCTGGGACCTGACGCTGCCTCATTGACCCTGGACGGCAGGTGGATTCTCTGCCCCCGCTCAGCTCCACCCTGCTCGGCCGGAGGAGGCTGGCGGCGGAGACCATCCTGTCAATGAGGTGCTTCCCATGTTTCGTCGCTGCCCTTTTTGTTGGGATCCACGCGGTGAGCTCGAGGCTGGACTGTCGATGCATCTGTTGCTTGCTGCTTTACAGACATGGAATCTGGCACTAACGGACCACGGGAATTGTCCCTTTGCAACTCTCTGCTTCCTCTGGGACACTACCCTGTGTGAGGGGTGCTATATAAATGCAAGTTGTTGTTTTGTTTCAGTTAAGCTTAGATTAGCGAGGCGGTCTTCTCACAGTTGCATCACAGTTTGGGTTTAGACCATAACCATTCAGTCGTGGCAGAGCTGAAATTTACAACCTTCAAGTGTTATTTTTGTTACTTTTTAGTCTTCCTTCCACTTTGAATGAAACCTAACCTGTCCCAGCACCTTATCACGTCTCAAAGTAACGTCTCAGTTACGTAATCATACCATACATATCATACACGCATGTGGAAAAGAAAAGCAAAAAAAAACACAGCAACGCAGGAAAGGATGTTTGATAAAGGGGGTCCTTATGGCTAAAAATAGAATCTTTTCGTCGGGTCTTTATAGACCCCAAAGTCTGTGATTTTTAGCCTGACCTCCCACGGTGGCGTCTCTGATGTGTGCAATTGGCATTTCGAGGGAGCTTTGCATGCTGCTGTTAAAGGTAAATGTCACCTTATGTTCAAACGGTGAAACGTCCCTCCGACAATTTACAGCAACGGGGCTTTGCATTTTATCCCCTTCGAACTGAAGGCTTCCAAACGTCTTATTTGTAGCACAGACTTGTTCATTCCAAAAGGTAAAACAGAATGCCGAAAGAGCCACGATCGGTGAACGCTCATTTACTATAAAGGGCAGTTCAGGACTGTCTAGACGTGGGTTTATTTTCTGACCTGACAGCAGGATTTCTATTACGCTTTGATTCCTCCGTTGTGTAACCTTTTCTTAATTATCCTATGTTTCTTCCGATTCTATCTCACGCAAAGCGGTAGCTCAAAGCGAACACAATGCCAGGCATTTCTCATCAAACGGGACAAGGTCGTTTAGCTCTGTTGAGTCTAAACGCTGCGCAGGATTTTATTTGTGGCTCAATTTGTTTTTGTTATATAGATAGCTATCGCTTTCATCAGTGCGTTTAGAGAACAAACTAAGGTCAGACCGAGCAGCATTCTCTCCGACCCAAACCTGGCTGGATTCAGTTGAGTAGAGAAGTCGAGGGAGCGAGAGAGTTGGCAGAGGATATTTCTGTGGGGTTTCCTTTCGTTGCGAGTAATTTCTTCAACAATGCATTTGAGTGGATATTTCTGTAGTTAGTTGCTCGTCGTGTTTTGTAAGCTCCTCACAAAAGTGTTACTGCCCTAAACCTTGCCCCTGGCTCTATTAGTATTGCTCATTTTAAACACTCACTTTGTTGGGTTTTCCCTTTCTTCCTCTGTCTCTCAGCAATGGCAACCGTCACAATGGAAGACAGTTCTTGTGCATATATAAGAATTGTGGTCTTACAGGCTAAGACCAGGTAGCATTGCAGGCGTCTGACCTTCGCTTTGAACTTAGTTGGCGTCAATCCATATTGGGAGAAAAATTTCCACCTGGGCCTTAATTCACGGTCCACCTTTTGTTTAAAAGAACAGATAAAAAAAAGCTTCAAAATCAAGGCTGCATATAATAATTTGACAAATTCTGGACACTTTGAAATGTTAAGTAAATATAGTAAATCTAGACCTGGGTAGATGTTCCTCCCAAAGTTCTGAGTTGCTACTGCAAGGCTTTGATTGTGTGTGCCTTGTGCATTGCTGTAGTTTGTTACCAGCAAATTCAATTCCGCTCATTGGTTACATAGCTATTTGGAATCATTCACATGATTCCTGCTTTTTAAACAACGGCCCATGCGATAGTCCTAACACTTGGCAAAAATTTTTAACAGAATTATAGCTTGGACAACAACTAGTTGTTTTTTTGGTTCTTGTATTTGCTGTCGTTTTCCGTTTCAGAAAGCACAGGCAGTTACAGATGAGAAACGCAGTGTGGCTTGTTTAAGTAGCGTAGGATGTTCAGGAGCCATTTGGTTAGAGCTTGGTTTAGGACTAGACAGAATTATCTTTCCCAAGTGTTCTGGGATGAAGTGGGATGGGATTAGATGCATTGCCCTAGTGTAGGGAAGAGGTTTGCGCTACTCCTGGAGATATGGGTGACATCCATTTGATGTACACCGCTGATAGAAGGGGAAATTGACAGCACATGCTTCATGGGACTTGATCAAATTGTGAATCTCTAAAAGGTGCCAAACTTCTGTGGAAACGTTTACCATTGTGGTATTGATTAACGACAAGAAGACTTCTGCCATTGAACGAGCTGTGCTTTCGTCTGTCGCTGAAATCAGCCTGGCCTGTCTGTCCATGGTTGGTTCCCAAATTCTGACTGCTTTTGTCTGAGCTTTTTGTTTAGTGCTATAACCTCTTAATAATGCTCTCTCAATAAACATTTTAATAACCTCTTAATGAACCCTGAACATCAGTGGTGCTGCAATTGACCCAGAAACTGGAGCTTGACATTCTTTGCCTTTGTTACACGTTGTTGCCAGCAGTGAGGGGTGGGGGTTTTGCATGTCTGGAAGGCAGTGAACACCTTGTGTGAAGTGATTTCTATGTGTCTATGTCATGTAAAACCTTAAAATGTACTTTCTGTTTCTGTTTGGTAAATGTTACAAAATAGTTATTTGTCAAGGAGGAAATCACACCAAACTTTTATATGAAATTACCCAGCCAGTCCATGCCCTTCACCCCTCTATTCCCTGTTGTGTGCATCAAGTTTCCTCTTAAAAATACATTGATGCTTTCTGCTCCCACCACAGTTTCCAGCCACAAATTCCATATTCTGCATCTCATGGCTCAGATGCTCACAACTCCAGCTGAAGGTTTATTTTACAGGAATAAAATTGCCTTAATCTAGTAACCAAATGACTGCCATAGAAATCGTGCGAGTTGTCTAGTTTATGAAGTGCAACTGTGTATCCTGCATGTAAAGGGTTGATGGCCAAAGTTGGTCAGCCAAATAAGAATGATATTTGGTTTGTGACTGCCAACTGAGGTTTCACATGCTCATTTTCAGTGCCTTGGAATATGGTAATACCTGTACAAATGTTATACCAAATGGGTTGAATACAATACTTGCACAGTGATTTACTGAGGTGTTGCCTCATCGCTCTCTGTTCTGTCGATCAATAAATAGGAATTCAAATGTTATTTGTGGATTTTGACTGTTTTCGGACGCCCTGTACTATCATTTTCTCTGTGCGAAGGAGCGAGAACGAAGGTAACGTGAATGAGTTACACTTGTCAATGTTTTACACCTGATCCAAGGAATGAATGGCACTTACAGCACATCCCCAGCACCTAATTGGAGTGTCAGGATAGACTGTAAGCTACCAACTGAGCCAGATTGACACACAAGCTTTTACTTTACTTTAGTACATTAGATGGTGTAATCTGTTGAGCAGGTACCACTTATTATAGTCAAGAGGACACTGACTGCATCCATGCACATACTGCATTTCAAACACTGACTTTGGTGACATCAAACATTTTAATCATTTAAGCTAATTGGACATAATTTACATACTTTGAATAATTAACTAGGAGATAAACTTTTTCCCAATACTCGAGCAAATCTTTATGAATTTTGGGTATAATCATGACGCTATTAGAGATAATATATTAATTATGCTTAATTTGCATATGCAAACTAGAATAATGAGTCACTCTGCTTTCCACATTAACTCACAAGATGCAAGTCTCGGCTTCAGAAAACTTGGGGCAGTTGATCATTATGTTAATGATTAATATCTGCAAAAAAAACATGGTAATTAAATCTAAATCGCAAACACTAATTATGTCAATTAGAAAACATGACTCCAAAAACCTACACACATTGAAGATTTTAAATAAGTTATCATAAGAAAGGAGAAAAGCGAATTCATAACTAACAGAGAGAACTTCCACTTGCAAGAATACTTATACTGCTCTTTTGATTTAATACAGGGCCTTTCATGTCAGGAGGACGTCTCTAAGTGTTTCATAGGATTTACTGTAAAGTATTACCACTGTGTATTTTGAAGGCAGACTTAGCAAGCTCCTCTGCTGAACAAATCCTTAAACTTGACTCCACATCGGCCCCACAGTGTTCTGAAACACTACCTGGTGTGAAGGGTGCTATGTAAATACAAGTTGTTGTTGTTTGAAAAATGATTGCGAGGATTAGTGATTATTAATAATTAATAATGGTGTAAGGGCAGTCAGCAGTCTATTGCTGAGATGATCCTTCAGTGCTTTTTTTCACACACCGAGAACTGCTGGCGATGACCAACAAATCAGAACACCCACTCTTTCCCTCTTCCCCCTCCCCTCCCACCACCATGAGAGATAGAAATAGCATGATTATCTGTTATAAACAACAATGCCACAAACTTAGTGGCAGTTGTTATAAGTCTGGCAACTGCATTGAATTCAGCAAACCCCAAAAAACAGTCGAGAAGCCAACTCCAGTCTCGGCTTTGAGAACTGAACCTCCAAGCCTGCCAGGAGACATGTAGTTATCTGTGTGTGTCTGTGTGGTGTGTGTATATATATCATAAATATATATATACATATGCATTTTTTTCCTGTACTGATGGTTTCTTTTATTTATGATGTTTCTGGCTTAACAAAGACATTTTAAATGGGGTAGAAAGGCTCTTGTAACTTAAGAGGCATTTTAATAATACGACAACATAAACCTTTAAAGTATTAATGAATGGATGTGCACAAGCATTACAGTCGTGAACTCCAGGATTTTCTCTGATGCGCTGAGAGCTTTTACAAAGCGTTTGAAGTGCCGAGCTGTGTAAGAATGATTTACAGTTCCCTTGAACCAAAAGGCACATTTACTCCCAAAAATCAGTCTTAAAATAAAGAGTAAATTGTGCCTGGAGAGTGAGTCAGCTTCAAATCAGATTCCTCCTCATTCCTCCCACCCCTCCCCCCCCCAAAAAAAAAAGCAGTAAATAATTTCTTTATAAAACTACCATCAGTTTTCTGTTGTGTGGAGACAGACATCTGGGCAGTCTGTGTATCAGAATATTGGGTAATTACTAACACTTCATTGAAACGCCAATCAAAACGAACTGAGAATGATAATCCTCAGCATTTGCTCTCCGAGCTCTGGTGTCAGATAGTTGTTGCTACAAATATTTATTATAACAGTCCATTTAAGTCCGGAACCATTTTACGCATCATTCTCAGTTGTTAATAATACTAATAATCCTTGCATTTGATATAGCGCCTTATCATGTCGTTGAGACATCTCAAAGCTCTTCACAGAACATACTGTAAAGCGAATTGCCTGGTCACCATTTCTGAGGCTGTTTCCAAGAGATTCTCTCTCAAACAAGCTAGCAGTGAAGATCAAAAGGTTTTGAAATGGTAAATCACGATTTTATTCAAGTTTCTGTTAAGTTCAGCCACGAGGGTGAGCAAGAGGCTACAATAAATATCCGAGCACAAGCTTCCCACCTCCTGCCTCTCCCCCAACCCCTCTTCCCCACCACAGCCACGACCCATGACAACCACCACCAACACCCACAAGATCGTCTGGTATGAACAAACAAATGACGTTTCACAGTCCCCACTAGTTCTCCAATTCAGGACGTGGTGGTGGTGGTGGGGAGGTGGGGGGTGGTCCTGGACTGTCAGAAATGCTGTCCTTCAGAAAAGACTTTACTGAGGCCCCATCTGTTAATTTGTGTGTCTAAGCTGATCACATAGTATAAACTGACACTCCAATGCAGTGCTGGTGTGGGGGGGGGTTGCATTGTCGGAGGTGCCATCCATCAAATGGCTGTTTGTGGGCCATTGCTGTGCGCAACTGGCTGCTGTGTTTCGCCCCAAAATATACGGTCACTCCACTTTATGGTATATCCTGTGAATCGCTTTGAGACATTGCAACAATATGATAAGGCGCTATAAAAATTGCAAGGATTATTAATGTTTCAAGTGGACAATTGTACGTCCTGGCCAGCTATCCTTCAGACAAAATTGGCCATTCACCTGGTTACTGTTTGCGGGCTCCCATGTGTGTACGAGATGGTTGCCTCTATTCTGCCTACAAAAAAAATCACACCGCTTGACAGTAATTGCTTGCAAAGTGGCTTGGTGACATTTTAACTGGATAAGATGCTCTAAATATTTTTTTTCCTGTAATGCCTCGCCACTAATTCCAGGATCGTGCCTCACAATTTGGGTTATTGTTTGCGAAGACTGCAAAGTAATGATCCGTCAATCCACTTATCCCAGGGCAGATGTGTCAGAGGAAAGGGTGGGTTGGAGAGATGTGCCAATAAGAAATGGCAGTGTTGTGACAAGGCCTTTCTCTTGGTAATGGAAGGGATGAGTCAGTGGGGGCTGCTGCTCCTCCGAGAGGGTTATTGCTCTGGAATTCCTGCCGTCGGTTAAACATTTAACTCTGTGACTCAGTCATGTTTCCTGGAATCGTGTGCTCTTGTGTTGGGGACTCAACTGTTTGTTTCGTAATCATTGACCAATATTTCTTTTTCTGATTCAGCAGTTTTAATGTCCTGACAAGCAAATTGCCTAAACACTTACGGTGTTATGTGGGTTCATGTTTGCATGCCTGCATGCGTGTGTGTGTTTGTGCGTGTGAATGTATATATATATATATATATGTATGTACGTGCCTGCATGAGTGCCAGTGGTATATGTGTGTGCATTGGCATGTGTGCTGTTGTGCGAATGTAAGTGAGCATGTGTGTGTAATTTTATTTCACCACAGGCAGTTATATTATTGTGATGCTCCTGTGTTGGTCGCTCTGATGTAACACAAACAGATGAAGACTGGTGGGGCGGGGATGCGGGGGGTGTTATTCTGTTTCTGCCTGTGGCTGGATGCGTTGCTGTGGGCTCAGTGTTGTTCCGCTCCAGATTCCTGCTGAAATTTGCTGTTAATAAACTACAGGTTTTTTTTTCTTAATTTCACCTCATAACCTTGAGGGTCACATACGCTCAGGGGATGGTGGCGGTGTTGGGGGTTGGGTGGGGGGAGACCAGACGGACACAGAGCACAGTGGGAATGCGTCAACACTGACAACCCACCCCCTCTATCCCCCACCCCACCCCCCAACAGTAGAATAAGCCCCCGCTTAAAATGAAAACAGCATTTGTGATAAGTGAGAACAGATACCTGGCGAGCGATTCCCAAGGCTTCAATCTAATGGTGCGGTTCAGCCCAAGGTTCCAAAGTACTCGAGCTACACACATGTGGTTTACAACGTTATGTCAGGAGGGCTCGATCAGATCAGCATCTTTAATCACCCTCTGTGGCTCTCTCTGCGTCCATCCGTCCACCCCACTCCTCCGATGGGGAGCGCTTGACTCTGTGTGTTCCTGGTAATTGACATCAGCTTTTTTGTTTTAATTTTCTTGGCATAAGCCTTCCTTTTATTTGTTGTAAGCGAACGTTTGAAAAAACAAAACCACACTGTGCGAGTCCAGAGGTTTACTTCGATCAATGTGTGTTGTGCCGGGCTCCAGGCTTAAATGATTTGGGATGTACAGAAGCTCTCAATGTAAATCAATTCAAGCCTTTTTATTCCATACGAAGAAAGATATTTAGGTTTATATACTGTAGCTGTGGATAAGAAGTAACCAGTGTACCTAAGTAACTGTCAATAAGTGGTGTCCCGTAGATATTATGCAATATAATACAATTTATGTTAATAATAATAATGTCGGGAATTTGGCAAATTCATAACTGTTTGTGGGACATTGGCTTCCATGTTGGCCTACCAAACAAACAGTCACTACAGTTTACAATTTACTGTGAAGCGCTTTTGAGACGCCTTCCTGTTGGGAAAGGCACCGTATCAACGCAAAATACAAGCGTTATTAAATGCTTAAATACAGTCTTGATTTTCAAGCTGTTTATCTGCACGTTCTTTCGAGAAACTGCAACAATTTGCATTTATCCCCTTCACATTGGAGAACGTGTTGGGAGCTGGCGCTGGGGGAAGGGAAAAGTTGGTCGAAAGCATGGTCAAAATGACAGAAAAACAGCTTCAAAATTCAGTGGAGTCCTGTAGCTCAGTGGTTAGAGCACTCGCTTTGCAAGTGAGAGACCTGAGTTCAATTCCAGGCAGAGGGCGAAACCTTGGGCAAGTTTCCTTACTCCACACAGAGCCTAATAATAATCCCTC